TTTATTTTTGAAATACGGAAAAATAAACACAGGGAAATGTCCTAGCTCCCAGATACAGACAGATGTGGCCTTCCCCGGCCTCCCTCTAGCTGGGTAAGCATCAAGAGAAGATGGCCCCTCTCTTCCTGGGGGGGTGGGGGGGGGAAGGGGAGACTTGTGGCCCGGCCTCAGGGCAGCTCTTCATCTCCTCAGGCCTGGCACATTTGCTTGTCCAGAAGGGCTCCTGAGGCCTGGTCATTTCCACTGAACTCCTGGCTGCTGGTCTAGCAGTGATAATTCCCATGCAGAAAGCGCTCACCAGCCGGATGTCCCCAAGCATCCCCCACTCAGGGGCTAGCAGTGCTCACCTTGCTCAGGTTCTGTGGGCCCCTGCTCCCTCGTTAGCTGCTTGGTGCAGAATTACTGCTGCTCTAGGCCAATGGGCTAGAGCACTTTCTCTCTCTTTTCTAATAAAATCTTTCAGACATTTAAATATAAAGATGCCTATAGAAAGGGTTTCTTTTGTAATTGTGCTGTGAATTATTTATTTATTTTGTTTGTTTCACCGGGAAGGAAACTCGAAGATCTAGCTTACTCTCTTACTCTAAAGACAAATCACCTGAGAACCAGGGAGGTGAGACAACTTGCTGGGGGGTCCCCCAAATGGCTGGGGTGAGGCTGGCACCAGTGCCTTGCTCTCCGGGTCCACAACCAAGGGGGACACCCCTCCATTTCTCCTTCTCCTGGCTTCTTTCCCAACTCCCTGCTCCAGCACTACAGCTGTTTCTCAGAGCATATTCAGGGCCTCCACACCTGTTTACTCAGCCTGACTCTTGCAAGACACTTGACCTTGATCAGTATCTGCACCTTATATCCTTATATCCACCGTTTGGCTGGCTGGTTCACCTTTAACCGTCCCCTCACCCCCATCCTGTCCCATAGTTTCTTGGAATTAAATGCTTCCAGGATTTCTCGGCCATCGAAGCCCTGTGCTCTCCAAGGTTATGGGGATGACAGCCATGGTATCACCTTCACTTCTTCGTTCCTCAGATCCAGACAGTCACAAATGATTCCTGGCCCCTGTCTGATTCAGGGAAGGGCTACTGTTCCAGACAAGAGAACATGAATATCATACCACTTGGTCTCTGCCCTCAAGAACTGCAGGGGGCCTCCCTGGTGGTGCAGGGAGTTAAGACACAAACTATGAATCTATCCACAGCCAATGAAGCATGAGTTCGATCCCTGGCCAGGGAGCTACCCACATGGCGCAGCAGACCTCTCCTGACTCGCCCGCTGCTCCCCTCAGCAGTGTATTTCCATTGATCTACCTGTTCTATTCCCCACTGGGTCTCTGGTGAATCCTCTCACCCACCACACCTTTGGCCTGTGCCCCAGTTCTTGTATGCATAAATAAATAAATCTTAAAAAAAAAAAAAAAAACTGCAGTAGTGGAGGACCCAGGCAAAGCCCCTGCTAGGAGTAGGATGCAGACTCCCAGGTGCCAGGCAGCCCACTGGCCTACCATCTGGGTCTGGGCCTTGCTGTTCCCGGACTATACCTAGGTTGCCTGCAATGCCGTCTCTGCCTCACATTCACCTCACAGGGCATCCAGGAGCCACCTGAAACCTGGATGTGTTTTGGTTACTTCCATTCCCAAGCATTTGTGTGCGTCCCTTTCCCATCACATTGCCACTTGTGCACCTGATGGCTGGTTCTCTCCCTGCAGAAGTGGGAGGGGAAGTGGGGCTCATTCTGCAGATCACAAGCTTTCTGAGTAAGGGGTGTACCTGTCTGTCTGCTCCCTATCTTCCTGAGTCTCTGCCACGGGGCTGTTTGCCTTAGCCCTGCTGCTGACAGACCAGGAATTCTGACCTCGGAAGATACCATAGGACGGCTTGAGGCTCGCCTTCAGGGCTCAGAGGACATCCTCAAGAGGCTGCTGCAGGGGAAATCCTCAGGGAGCTGAGAGCTGACCAGACCCAGATGAGGGATGAGGGCGTGTCTGGGAAATAATTATCACCAGGCTAGGAAGGAGCACTTTTTTAAAAACAGTTTCCCTGTTTTTTTTTTTCTTTACTGGAGCCACATGTTGCTATGGGAACGAGGATGGCACTGGGAGCCCACAGCCACTCATGGGTCTGACAGAAGCCTGTAAATAAATTCTGCCTCACTCAAGGCTCTGTGCAGAGTGGTCCTGGAGGGCAGCTCAAGCAGCCACTTGCAGACTTTCTGTCCTGCTGGTGCCGGCTTGTGCAGACCCTCCTGTGGCAAGTTCATGGGCCAATTACTATTCCTCACACGCGAGCATCGAGTGTGTGCAGGAGTCTGCACACCCCTATCCCCCCACCCCCACAAAAAACCTCTATAACATAATCTCATTTGTGTGTACCCCATCCTAAGGGCCAGGATCTTTCTATCCATTTCATAGATGAGGAAAACACCTTCCTCAGGGCCCAGCCCCTACATCCACTCACATCAGCATCCTCTGCTTCTGCTTGTCCCCCCCGCCCCCGCACTGCTAAGTCTACCGTCAACTGCTATTCCCAGTGCCGCCTGGGGTAAAGGCACAATTCTTGTGTGCTGAGTTCTCTCAGGCAGTGAAACTGCAGTGCCCTTAAGGAAGGGCCCTGCCTCAGTTTCTCTGAGATCTAGCATGGGCTGGTATAAGGAGTGTACCCAGAGGAACCATCTGCTGACTAATGTGTGACTCAGGTAATGGGGCCAGGGCAGAGGGGCTGCTGGATGCTGAGAGCCAGACTGCCTGGACCCGAATCCTGGCTCTGCCTGCCCCAGCAGGGCGACTCGTGCTAGCATCACTCAGCTTTGCTTCCTTCATCAAATTTTCCTTTTTAAGATTTGTTTTTATTTATGCATACAAGAACCAGGGTACAGGCCAGAGGTATGGGGGGTAAGAGGAGTCACCAGAGACAGAGTGGAGAACAGAACAAGCAGACTGACCTAAATACACTGCTGAGGAGAGCAGGGGGCGAGGCAGGAGAGGTCTGCTGCGCCGTGTGGGTAGCTCCCTGGCTGGCTGGGGATCGAACTCATGCTGCAGAGGCTGTGGATAGCTTCATAGGTTGCGTCTTAACCCCTTGTACCACCAGGGAGGCCCTCCTTTTTGCTTTAAGCAAAACATTTTTCACAGGAAATGTGAAAAATGACCCACTAAAAGGTCTGAACAAAATACAAATGTACAGCTTGCTGAATAACTGTATCATAAATGCCCTGTAGACCCCACTTGGATTAAGAACCAGATACCTGCTGATCCCTCCATATGGCCCTTCCTGATGCGAGCCCTTGCCCTGAGGAACCCACAATGCTGGCTTTAATAATAATCATTCCTTAGTTTTTAAAAACTAATTTTACCACCTGAATATGCTTTCTTAGATGTTATAGCTTAGTTCTGCAGGACTTGGCGTTTATATGAGTGGCATCCTACCATATGTATCCTTTTGTCTGACTGCTTTCCTCTGATGTGCTGTGACATTCCTTCACGTTGCTCTTCCATTCTCTGGTGGATGGACAACTGAGCGGCATCCCAAGTAGGTCTAGTATAACAGTGCTGCTGTGAGCACGCTCATTTTTGCATCCTGAACTTGCCTCTTTAGAGAATATACAGGGTGGGGTGTGTGTGGCATACAGCTCAGGGGAAGAGCATCTGACTGCAAAATATACATGGGCCTGCACATGCTTAGTCACAGGGCAGGCGGGCACATATTCAACTTCAGATTATACAAGGCTGTTCTCCAAAGTGACTGTATCAGATTATTCCCCCGCAACATTGGACAAGATTGCCTGTTCCTCCTCAGCTTTGCCAACACTTGATACTGAGTTTTCTCATTTTCCAGTGTGGAAGAGAGTAGAACCTACTTAATACATGAGGATTAAATAGTGTAATAAATATAAAAGATCTGGACAGGGCCTGGCATGTAGTAGGTGCTCAGTAAATACTTGCTGCTATTGTAATTTATGATGATGATTTATGATGACTAATAGTTATTATTTAATAAGAGTCCTAAACTAGAAGATGCTGAGGCACTTAGCATATATACTTTCCCTTTCACAAGGTTCCAGTTTAAGAAACCCCTTGGTATAACCACAGAAACTCCACCTTGGAATGACATGGTCTCTTGATAAGAAGTTGTTTTGCAAAACCTTTCCCTTTATTTCCCTGACTAATGGGGAGAGGGAGAGATGAGTGAACGGACTGATTGATTCATTCAGTCATTCAGCTAACGGGCACTTTAAGCTTATACATGCAGCCCCATGCTAGGTGCCGCAGATACAAAGATAAATACGACACAGCCTCTCTCTTCAGCTACACAAATCCAATAAGTAAAATGGAACCCTGAGAGCTGTCTACAGCCTGTCAATACCATCCTCAGTTTCTGTTATTGACTTGGTGAAGGCTTTCATGTGGATTCTTCTGAGCAGGAACCCAGTCTTTCTTTATCATAGAGAGTTCATTTTTCCCACATTCCTTGTTAACCCCCGGGCTGCTTGTGCCCAAGCTCTCTGCCTACTGAAAAATCATTCCAGAAATCATATTTAAACCCACTTTTCACAAAAGTCCTAAGAAGAAACGGGTGTAACTTCTTTAGTACCACTGCCAGATGTTCATAGGTCCAAACAGATGTCATCAGAGCCCAGCCAGACGTCTTTAGGGTATGGAGTGTGCCCTTGTGGCTCTGCTGCAGTCAGTACTGAATGAAAACAGTGGGGGGCCAGCGTGGTGCTGCGTCAGAACCAGCAAGGTGCTGCAGCCATCACTGAAGTTGAGACTTCACATCTGCCCTGACATTTTGGTGTTCTCGACAAGGCCAGGCCCAGTTTCTAACCTTTTTTCAGACAACAGAGACTTAGTGTGGGAAGCAGTGTCTGCCTTCCCAGTAGTTCAGAGCCAGTGAGCAGCTGAGGCAGGCAGGCAGTCATGCTGGAATGACCACACAATTGCCAAGTGGCGACTGAGATCACCATAAAGTAGCTGAGGAAATAGCCAAGAAAAGTACCTTTGTGACTAGAGGCATGGGGTGGGGGGCATCTGATGAATGAAACAACTGAAGGAGAACAGGACACGGGACGGGAAGGTGGACGTGCTGAAAGACAGACTGACATATGTCTGCCACCTAGTGCCAAGCAGGAGAGGAAGACAAAGGAAACCTTGTGAGTGGGCACAGAATATGAAAGAAGGTGTCCAAGGGTAAAGGACAGAAACACAAGACACAAGGGAACCATGCCAAGCGCAGGAGGGGGGTGTGTGGGGGGGAGATGACAGAGCAGAGAGGAGAACAGAGGACAACAAAACACACACTGGGGGCAAATACAAGGAAAATGTTCTAAGACGGTACAATAAATGACGAGGATGACGCTGAGTACACAGGAGCAGGAGGTCATAGAAGGAAGTGCTGAAGTCTAAGAGGTAAGTATTAGGGGGATTTATTGACAGAAGTCAAAACGGAGCTAAAAAATTAAACAAATTCATTGCTGCGGTGCTCACAAAGCAAGATGAGAGGCAGATGCCAGCAGCAGACATGCTCTTCCCAGAGGAGAGGGATGAAATGCCGCAGGAAATCAGAAGCGTGCCAAAACAGGTGATCAAGAAATCTGAACCTCCATGGCTGCTGTCACCCGAGAGCTGCCCGGATCAGAGGGAAGCAGGGAAAATGAATATGCAGCAAACACAGATGCTGAGCCTTGCGTGCGGGAAGGCCTGGCTGGCTGGCTGGCTGGAGCAAGACAGACACAGACCTTCATCAGGCAAGAAATTCCAATTTGTTTTAGCTCAGGAGGCCTCTGCTATTTTGATGGTGGCCTGGAAGTCTGGAGGCTGGGGCAGTTCCTACTGTCACCGACGCAGAGCTACCTGCACTGACACACCAAGCTGGCCATGATCACCTTCGGCTGAAACAGCGCGACCACCATCTCCTCTGCGCGTGCAGAGAACACACATCTCCTGCAGGCTGTGTCTCCCCATCTCCCCCCCACACCCTCTCTCCTCCCCTCTCACCATGGAGGGGTCTGCACCTTGGTATACCTGGAGATGTGGCTGGAATTTATTCACCCACATCTCTCCTGTTAGCACACAATTTTACCTTTCCATGTGAAAAACCAACTCCATCCATGCTTCTGGAAATCAGCACACTATTTTTGGTTTGCAAACATTTAGCATTTAAAAAGAAACAGGTCCTGGCTCTGACTGAACAAAGGCCGCTGATCTCACTTGGCAAACAAGCTGTGAGAGCTAAGAAAACCTCCTTCCCTCCACACTGTCCCGTGAGAGCACAGTACCCTTATCCTGAATTCTCATGGCAGTTTCTGGTCCCCCTGGGATCAGGGCTGTCCTAGCACCCCCACACATACTGGTTTCCTGATTCTGCCCCCAGCCTGCTGTCTGTGTCTCCACAGCTCTTGGAGCTGCCTCCCTGAAGTCCGGGCCCACCAACCTCATTCCCCCTCCTTCCTGCTCCTCACACCTCTGTCACTGCGGACACAAATTCCCCTTGGGATACTACTCCTTACAGTGCATCACAGAACCCAGCATTCAGTCAAGGGCATTCCCTATGAGGGCCTGCATATCCTGGACCCCGATGAAGTGCAACCCTTTTGTGCTCTGAGAATGATACAGCTTATGATTCTTCTCTTGTGATCCTGGTCGTTATTTAGCTGATGACTTAAGATGTTTCCTAATTGGCCACAATATAGTGAGCCTTTTTTTCCTGATCAATAACTGCTTCAGTAAGGCAGCTGAGCAAGTTGCTCATCAACCAGATGTGGTAGGTCACAAGTTAGTGACCTATACTAGTCAACCCATTCACAATGGCTGACCCACCATGGTTGGCTTCCTTGCATAGATATTCTTGGGAAGAGCTGACTTAGAGCTCTGAAATGGGGAATGGTTCTTCATCTGGTCATTGAAGTGATGGTTTGGGGCTGAGGGGTAGAATCAGACCCTAATCACACTCACTCCAGAGGTTTTCTGTCTTTTCTAACTTAAGAATTCCTCTGTTGTAATACAAAATTGCAGAGATCCATTAAAGAAAAAATGTCCTTTTGGTGGGGGAGGGGGAGCAAATGCATTATAAAAGAAACAAGTGACTACAAATAAAAAATATTTAATTTTAGCTCAATATATTGTTATGTAAAGATAAATTTAAATTGTTTTCCAATTTAATAAGAACACACATAATTAATTTAACTTTGTTTAAGTGGTAAGATAATTGAATGGGTTTATTGGCAAGTTTTAAAAAATATGATGCTTGCTTTGAGGGTCATATACATTAAATACAGATTCAAATTTACTTTAGTTACATCATGAAAAAATAAAAAGTGCTTTTATGGCCTGGTGTTTAGAATTCTTTAATTTTGTGCTTTTAAAAATATTGATTGATTTATTACATTTTAATTTTCAGCTTTGTTTTGAAATGAAGACGTGAGAGAAAAATTTTAAGCTTCTGTTTATACGCTCTGCAAGATACATATTGTGGGTATGCATTATTTTTATTATAAGTAAGTAAAAAGAAGAAATGAATCTACATTATCACAATATCTTCACATTTTAAAGTGATTTTTGAAGTATCAGAAAGATCTTGATGTGCTCTGGAGAATTCTGATTGACAAATACAATGTATGAATATAGGGCTGGTTCTGGAAGGTGCAGGTCTCATTGCAAAATGAGATGCAAAACCTATCCCTCAAAAAAACAGGAAAAAACAGCCTTTTCCTTTCTTCCTCAGCCTCTCTGGATTTTCCATTGCTATTTAGTGCTGAGCTTCCCTGGCACCAGGACTCTTCAGGCCAGTACAGACCCACATATGCTCCCAGACTCACATGGGGGGTTCCCAACAACCCAGGCCACCAATAGGAATGGTGGGGGGTGGCAGTGGTCATAGAAGAATGAGGGTAGGCTGGGGAGGTCCTGGCACCAGGGGTCAGGGAAGCGGCAGAGGATGGCCTGCACGTGAGCTGATAAGGCTCAAGCCCTAGCTGCATGCACCACTGTCCCCGGGGCTTCCCTTTAAAAAAGTGAGTCAAAGACAAAATAATGAGGAATTTCAAGAGGGTACCTAAAGCCTTAAATTCAAGTGCAGGGCCCCCCTTCTGGGTGTGGAGCCCCCTGCAATTGCCCTGATTGCACACCCAGGAAGTCGTCTGTTAGGGATCTGTGAAAGACTATGAAGGTGAAATTGCAGAGCTGTTACTACTTTCATGCCTTCACTTTCCTCTTGAGTCTCGACCTCACTGTTCTTTCCAATTCCCATCTTTGACCAGCACCACTAGGAGGCACGCACTGAACACATAGGACTACAAAAGCAAGAGGGTGGGAAGCCGACTTTGTCCACAGCAGGGTGGTCTCAACACTCATGTTTCCTCAACACCTGCTTGAATGAATCCCAGGGTGCCTCTGGGAGCCCTATGGAGTGACACATTCAGGTGTGTGAGGCTCAGTCCTGGTTGGCACCTCATGCATTTCAATGGAGCCATGTCCATTCCAGAGAAACAGAATGGCAACATTTGAGGCCCAGATACCTCACCTGAATGGCACTGCCAAAGGTGGGGGCAAACATCTCGCCACTCTGTCCTCCTTAAAAGCCAAGGAGCAGCTATACACAGCATGGCCCAGTAGAATGACTGCCAGCCTGGGAGCCAGGCCCGGCACTGGGGGAGGGAGAGGTCTGCAAGGAAAAGAACTGCTGCTCCTCGACTCTCACGCTCATGTTTTACAGGACTATACGCCACAGCCCCCTGTGGGGCTGAGGTTCCTTAAAAGCCACACTTGAAGGGCCAAGAGACCTCTGAAATGTCTGTTGTCTGGGAAGGCAGAAGACTCTGAGGACAGGGCATTTGACCTCTCAAGGTCTCTGAGGTTGCTGATTCCACAGAGAGGCTGGTCAGAATCAACAAAGCCATAGGGGTTGGTTTTCATTTGCCAGTATAGAGACATCCAGAAAAGATAATGATATCCCCACTGTGCAAGAGCAGGACTCTCCTCTGTACCAAGCTGTCTGAACAACAGGCCATTAGCGGGTAGAACAAACAGTTCCACTTAACTCTGGATGTAGCATCATGAAACATCACGGCACCTTTCATGAAAGGAGACCCTTACCTCATTTGCTGTGTTGTGTGTTCCAACGATTCGGATGAAGGAGGCAGGCTGTCTTTCAAAAGTTACTGATTGCCAGGACCTGTCAGAGGAAGCACAAGCATAGGCAGTTAGCCCTGCAGACAGCTGACTGCACTGAGGGGGGCGCCCTTCCATCCCCCGTCTTGGCAGGCTTGTGCTGTGGGGATTACAGGGGCCTGGCTCCACCTAATGTGTGGCTGAAGGGGCAGCAGTTTTCTACAGTCTTGTCTAAGGGGGCAGCCCACCCTTCAGTGAAGATGACAGGGGTGTCTTAGAAAGCTCTCTACACAGACACAAGGCGTGGACCAAGTTCACATGGTGCCTAGAGTGCAGCCAAAGAGAAAAGTGGCCAAGGTGGCAGGTTCACAGAATCTACTTCCTCATTTGTAAGATGGGCCACAACGGGCACAGCCTGGAGGACTGTTGGTTTGGTGGACACGCCTGCATGGCAGGGTCTGGGAGGAGGAGTTTTGAAGCAAGGTCCCCCACCATGGTGGGGTTCCCCACGGCCCAGGCTCTTCTGACCGAACTCCCCATGCACATGATGGCAGCTGGGGGAGGAGAGGCTTTCCTACAGTCCCCACCCCTCCCTTTCCTACTCACGAATGCACCCTCACCCTCCAAATGGTTTATTCTCAGGACTGATTAGTCTCAGGGTGGGCTCAAAAGGCGCCTCAGTATTTTGAGGGCAATTTCTCAGTGATCCGCAGAGGCTGGGTCAACTCATTTAAAACCTAGCTGAGCAGATCCTAAAGAGACCCCGAGAGGGTTTGGTTTAACGCTCAAAGCTCATCAGAATGCACCGGAGGCATGCAAGGCACCCACGACTGTAAACTCCAATAATATTTTCTATAATAAATGTGAGGAGTTCATAGTTGTTGCCATCCTCCTCCGCTCACACAGTGGAAATGCCAGCTGCTGGGAAGCTGTTTCCTGTAATTGTCTAATTACCAAGTAATGCTACCAAAGAAAATGTATGTATTTGTGGTTTGTTTCCCCCCTTTGGTTTCAGGTGTTCCATCTTCTCTCTCACCATGAGCCTCCCACTGAGATTGATTCACTGCTGCCTGGACACCAGGCCCCTTAAGGTCATTAAAAAGTCGTTACCATCCTGTGTGCAAAGTCTGTGCCTCTGAAAGCAGTTTTCTGGAAACTAGGTAAGAAAAATCACTCTCTTTGTAAAAATGTTATTATTTATACATGAAGGTGATGCTGTCTGACCATTCCCAGAGCTGTGGCCCCCTTTCTTGGTGGGGGACTGATGTCTTCCCAGCCTCGGGCAGCTCCTGAGGCATCTGCTGGAAGGGATGCAGCCGGTGGGCCGGGGGAGGCTGCGTGGGGCTTCCCCACTTGACCTGGCTCCCACAGGTCCAGTTATCACTTTGAGCCACGCAGTGTAACTGACCAAAGATGTGTGTCCTTCCTGCAGCAGGTCAGGGAAGCCAGGGGGCTACAGTGTGAGGGGCTTCAGTTCCAGCCACACTAAATGAAAGCCACGGCACACACCATGGTCCGTGCACCACCTGCTCCTCAGACCAGCCCTCTAGGAGGGAGAGAGAACCAGGACAAGTGACCACCATTATGTTCAACTCAGTTTCAGAGAAAGGGCTGGGATGGAGGTGATACAATAAAGACTTCACTCTCTGAGCTTGTTAGCTCTATGCCTATCAAGAAAGTTGTCTGGATGTAAAGGTAAACCCTGACACTTGCCAGCTCGCAATCCTCAACTCTGAGCATGTAGGCAGGCCTAGAAATTATGACTCCCTCCCCACCCCCGTGATGTGTCCAAGCCCTCCTCTCTGCAAAGGGTCTTGGAGGCACAATGCAGTGAGGAAGTGAGGTCTCGCTGTGAAGGGTCCTGGGCCGAAGTGGGTGTAGAACCTGATCTCCGTTAGCTCTCTCGCTGATCCTTTTTGTATCTCCTCCTTGTTTTTCTCACCCTACACTAGGCTTTCGCAGGGGCTCAGGACCTGGACTCATTTCTGCTTGGGAAAGCAGGGCTGGCAGGGCAGCAGCCTGAGCAGGAGGGAGCATTCGTGGAGTAATAAGATCAGGAGGCCTCGATTTAATACCAATCCTCCATTACACTGCATTAATATCTAATCACATTAGAGTTCATTTGCACTAACACAGTTTGAGAGTTGAATATATGATTTCATTTCCAGCAAAACTGGATACCACCCCTAAGACCAAAAGTATAAGTAGGAAGGAAGGTTGGTTCGGGTGAGCTATTAAATGTCCCTTCCTCCCCAAATATCAGATTCCATTTCCACTGATCTTCAAAACAACTTCAAATGCCGCTTGGTGCGGAAATGACAAGGTGGCACTCGAAGTGTCACCATTGGGCAGAGTCATTATGGAATTGGTGGGCAATCTGGAAGAGGCGCTTTGGCTGAGACCATGACCCCCACCATCAGTTAGTCTATGCAGGAGCTTGACTGCCATTTTCATTAAGTTTTATTGAGAGCTGTATAAATATCCCCATATGCCAAGTACCCTGGATCTCTTCTCTAGCATACAACACTCTCTGGAAGACAATGGGGCGTCAGGGGTGTGGATTCAGTCCTCAAGGAGCCAGGACTAGGTACTGGGAAGAAGGTGTCTGAACAGAAGTGACAGGTGTCAAAAAATACATGCTTAGAGAACTTACCCCCAAACCAGAAAAATCCACACCAGATTAACATTTCAACTCTGGTACTTGCTTGCTTGCTTGCTTGCTCTCCACTGAACAAATCACCCCCTTTTCTGAGTCACAGTGTCATCTGTCCCATGCTGACATTCATAAAACCCACTCCCCTGGTTACATAATTATGTTATCTAGGCTCACAGGGATTCAAAGAGGGATCTAGCAGAATGTTTACCAAAATGTTGATCAAGATTTTTAGCTTTGGATGGAAGAATTTCAAGAGACATTTGCTTTACTTTTGTAATTTTCTGTACTGTTTGAATTTAGTAGAATGTATATGTAAGCATTATAAAAATGCACCTATCTTGCCTGCTACTCAAAACTTTGCTATAGATCACATGACCTGAAGCAAGAGAAAATGCCGGTACTGTATTATCATGCAGTCTTTGCAGCTGAGAGAATCACCAGTGACAGCCAAGGCAGCAGGCTTTAATCCTCGTCTTTCTTGGACCAGGAGCCACCCAGCTGCTGGGTTTGAATCTCACTTTTGTACTTTCTCCAGCTCTGTGAGCTTAGGCAAGTTGCTTAACCTCTCTGGGCTTTAGTCTCCTCATCTATAAAATGAGAACAACAAAAATAATTACCTAAATATTTCTGGTGAGGCCTTAAGACATTAACAAATATAAAACACCTAGCACACTGCTGGCATATACTAGGTGTTAAAAGAAAACGGGCTGGACAAGACTGCTTCCCTAGGCCTCATCTGTGAGTCGTCAGGTTTGCTGGTGTGTTCAGTGACTTCTGTAAGCTTCCCAGGGTCACCCAAAGGCACCATTTCTTGGAGGCAGACAGGCAGCTGGGCTTTGAATACAGATTTGCTGAATATACTCTTGAGTATGGCATCTGCTGAGTGTTATGGGGGATCCATACAAGAGGTGGTGCCTGCCCTGAAGAACTTGATCATCTCCATGGGGAGATCAGCTACCCTTCCACAAACTAATTAGAGAACAATGCACAGTACAGGGGTCCCAACTCTCAAACTGGTTGTGTTCCAAAACTTCCCTTATAATTGGTTGTTTGAAGCTTAGAAGCAATTTATCTAGAAAAATAAAGCTATAAATTTTGATATGGTTCCCAGACCCACCCATAAAGCTCAATTTAACCCATAATGAGGCTGAAAAGCTATATATGTATGGCTTTTTTTTAAAAAGGAAGAAAAAATGATGTTGTTACCATAGTAGTAATTAAATAAGCCAGAAAAACAAGAAATTTACAACAATCTCTCTAAAACTGCTGCTTGCAGAATGAGGATTAAATACTGCAATGCATTCACAATCATGGGGATGTAGCTGGCATATGGTTGGACGTCTGTTATTAAGGAGAGTGAAAAGGTAGGCCAGGACCTGTCACCCCAGAAGTCTCTCCTGTCTGCAGACCACCGTGCGGCTTACAAAGTGCTTCATGATCAAGATCTGTGACATATCGTTCCCAGCACAACCTGTTAGGCAGGTAGGCAGCTGATCAGAACCCCATTTCTGAGGTTATGGCATGGTGGCAGAGGAAAGATAAGCAACTGTCAACATTGCAGGGCTGCCAGCTGCAGAAGGCAGATTTAATGGCTGTTAGTTTGTACTCTTTCTGGCAAAGGTTACAATAAGGAACTTTCTAGTAATTGAGAGCTGGGCAGTGGTTCCCTGTCACTGAAGCCATAAAGGATTCACATACCTCACGCATGCGTCTCTGCAATGACTCTGGGGCTAGAGAGCACATGCGAGGGGATCACAAGCTGACTTCAGAGGAGTAACAAGCCCTTGAAGTTGTTTCCCATGTGAAGTGGCATTGATAATAGTTCCACACTTGCCGTTCAGGGTGGTGAGGATTCAATGAGAAAACACACAGTGCTGGCATGTGGGAAGGATATAGTGACCGGGTGCTACTATCTGTCTCTATGGAGGTTCAGCAGGTCTGTCTCCATACAGATCAGCGTGGAGAGATCTGAACACAGAAGCGTTACTGAAAAGCAAGCTCTTGGACGGTCTATCCCATATAGGGCCATACGCACGCATGAAACTGTACACATTATTCATGAAAACATACATGCTCACAAAACATTTCCAAGACATTCTGGAAGGACAGATGATGACGGCGGTCTCCGAGGAGAGGGTGAGGAACGGGACCACTGACGGGAACAGAGGACACTGCAACGTAAACTGGAATGTTTGGTTCCTTTGATTAAAATAAAGAAGACTTGAAGTGTATGTGAGAAATATTAACTACAGTCAATTCTGGTGATGACTGTGAGTGAATGTTATATTATTTCTTATCCTTTTCTGTACTTTAAGCCATTCTTGAAATAAATTAAAAAAGAGAGAAGAGATTAAAGTGTGTCTATGTTGATGTGAGAAAAAATGTGCAGGAGGTAGAATTAACTCAACTGCAAATGAAAAAATTAGGGGGGGGATGGAGTTAGTAGCTCAGTGGGGTGTGGATCTGCCAGGGGGTGTCGTGGACTGTGGACAGCTATGCTGTTGTCAGAAGCACAGGGAGGACAGGAGAGAGCTGGCTCGGGGAGGACAGTGCAGTTGCCACAGTAAGGGTCCGCTGAGGGGCTCTGGGTGAGACCAATGCAAGGCACCAAGGGCGAAAAGGAGGAAGGACTGCAGCAGAGCTCAGCCGAGAATGGCTTTCCATCCTAAGCCTTGTCCTGCCTTCTCTGGGGACCTGAGAATCCTATGCCAGGGTTGTGGTTTTTTGAGCTTTGAAAAATGATGTGACTCTGCTATCTATGCCATCAATAGAAGGCATATGTTAGAATTTTCTGTAGCAGGCCAGTGAACACTGGGAAGCTGGAGATAAGAAAACATTTGGCCAGGACCAGAAAAGAAGTCAAACATGGCAAACTGGTCACAAGGGCTTGTCTTTGCTCCCTCCACTAAAGAGCAGTAAGGAAGTGTGCTTCATATCAAATGCAACACACACACACACACACACACACACACACAGAGGCATAAGACAGGGAAGGGATGAGATGTTACTATCTCTCCATGTCAACACTTGAGAGAAAACACCCAGTGTTGGATTCATAGTGCAGATGGCTCCAAAGGCTCATGTCCTTGGGCCACCAGCCACCTCTGAAGGTGGGGGTGGGCGGGGGGCTGAACACTGGTTGAAAGCAGGTAAAGGAGCAGATGGAGTCCCCAAGCTCCCTCTCCTTCCTGCACAGGGGGACAACCCCCCTCTGCCCCCCCCCACCCATTGGTAGGAGGCAGGGAATCCAGTATGAAGTACTTGAACAGGGAGGGTTTAGCCTCTGGGGGCACAGGAGAGGGTGGGATCCTGTAGCAGTTGAGAGCAGGGAACCTCATGGAAGTGAATATCCCAGAGGTGACACTTCCAGTCAGTCCCCTACACCTGCTCAGCTTTCAGGACTCTATGACCCAGGCTTGACCCCCAGGCAGGATACTGGAGCATCCTCTGGAGACTCAGATCAGCCCAAGAGGAAAGACCTAGAGAGACTGTTCTATC